GCGCCAATTTCGCTACTCGAGGACTATTACTAATAGTCCTCTGGTAGCGTAGCCAATCAAAATGCAGGATTTGCATTATTCCACTAGTTGGGTGATACTAAAACTCGATAGAAACACGTATGTATGTATGTAACTATAAGCTATGGCAGAAAACATGATTTGGAGTCGAATAGTCTTTTAGGGCGGAACCATGGAGATTGAGCACCATAATGAAGTGAATAATTTCTTTCAAGTATAAAATGATGTTAGCAATCCAGAAACTAGTAAAAAAATTTAAGGTGAACATTACCAGAAACTGTACCCGTTCTTAAAAAAACTAACAATAAATAATGGGAGATAGATTCCACAGTATTGTGGGGATTTTGCGTATGTAGGGTGTCTTTTGAGGATAATCTCTTAGTCCGTGGTAGTTTTTGCAAAACATCACAAAACAGAAACGGCAAAGCAATATCTCTTAGGTTTTGATATCATTTTAAAACCAAAAATTGAACGCTGGTCCAAAATTAACTCCTATAAGCAAGAGTGCCAGCAAATCCCTTCGAAATTAAACTCATTATTAGTCATTCGATGATTATGCAGAGAGGAAGTGAATGCATATAATTCAAGCTAATAGCACTACGCGGACAACACATCAGTGAAAACTATAAGCACTCATGGACAAAGTTTGACAACAGGAATACTTTTAACTATGGCTGCACGAGGCCTTTTACTGAAGACTGTACATCAAGGTTCCCCCTGGGAAACGTTTGCGGGAAAGTTTACCGAGGTAAAGGAACAACTTGTCAGTAAGAAACATTCCGGGAGAGAGAGGTACTCAACAAAGTTTTTACAGGGAGGCGTCCGCTCCGAGGTCCAAACCGTCAATCAGCCTTAAAATATACCATTTTTATCAAAACGCAATCCTTTCATATACTTTCCATAGAGCATGCCACCCCTTTCACATACCTACAGTACACTCTCACCGACCCCAAAAAGGCCTGCAGAATTATCCTCTCCCAAAATGGTCCACCAGAAATTTTCGTCCCCCAAAGGCCTTCGCACCACCTCGTCATTATAAACCTGTATACGAGGTATTTTGAAAGGCCCTTTTAAATAGCTAAATGACAGTGGTTTGCCACCCTTTTAAATTCGTGATTGCCTAAGCAAGTCACGGGTTGCAATGGTACATCAGTTTATGGTAATTAGGTTCAGTCGATCGTCTGTCAATCCTCCCATATTGTTTCCGCTTTTTTGCGGGCGCATATATCGTTAGATAGGCAAAGCCTGATAACAGCTAGATATTCATATTCTGTGATAGTGCTAACTGGAACACATTTTTAGCTATAGACAAAACTTAATCTGGATTTTGCTCAAACATGCTGATCTTATTTGATTCCTGCATGTAATTAAATTAAAAACCCAAGTGACAATCACAGTGCTGTTTATAAGAACTGATCGACAGCCAGTATCTCCTCAAATGTTCACTACAAAGTCAAGGTTCAGTTCTTGAGAATATGGAAATCTATTTATAGAGGAGCAAGAAAAAATAGAATTCTTCTGGTATCGGGTTTTGAGAGGTCCATATAGTGCTCTGATTTAGGTGGATCCGTGACAGATAGGGGTCTTCTCGTTTATACCTCAGCATTAATTAGAGGAATATCTACTGAAGTCATTTAATTTTGAATTATTCCAAAGGTCAGATGGCTGCAACATCTTCAATTTTGGGCTTCCTGTGCACGGCCAACATTACCCTAGCTGGATTTTCGGACTGTGTGAAAACTGTAACTTTTGGTGAGGTTATAAAATAGTATATTGCGTGTCAACTAAAAATGAAGTTTATCTTATGTTCAGTTTTACAACTCTTTTATGCGCTGAAATTATTGCATTTAACCATCTCTGGGGGGTTTAACTAAATAAAGCGGTCAAACAATCTATTGGCTGTTTATAGAACGCCGGTATCTGGGATTTTCGTCTCTGTCTTGCTGCGCTGTTGTATCAGTCAATAACAGCTATAAATGTTTAACAACGCTAAGCTATTTGCTTTCTTTTCATCTAGTCGCAGAAGCGCTGCGACTCAAAACGGCCCTAGCCAAGAACGTTTACCTGTTCTGAAGGATTTTTAAGCTGCCTTTTGCGTTAAGCTGGAAACCCCAGGGAATTTATGGCAAAGAGAAAACAGGCAATCGCGGTTTTAGTCGTATAGTAACTAGTAAAACCGCTTTGAAACATATTTCAGCACGGAATTGACTACATACCACATACCACGGTAAAGTTCTTTAAGCTTGTGTAAGGGAACTCTTAAAGAATTTCCCTTGAATTCTTTCAGTTTTATCCAGTATTTTTGAAAAAAGTCTTTTTTTATTTAGTTCTAGAAGTCTTAATCCTGAATTCCGTCCGTAATCACAGTCGCGAGAATGAGATCGAAGTTGGTCCGTAAACTTCGCCGAGGCATTTGAAATATTAATGCTGATGAAAGACGTAGATCTAAGGTAGGTTTTTAAGCTTTAAAACTCTATTGTATTACAGACATAGTTTCGTCTTTCATATTCTGACGAAGAAATTTCAAACTCTGAGTATTCCGTGGCAATAGCTACCTATCGCGTGATGGAACAACTCGCTTTAGAGACACGAAGAATACGATGTAAGCTGCTTGACTTAATTACTTGACGAAATTAAATTGTGATACTTCATTTTGAGATGCTTGAATCGTGGTTTGTGTCGATAAAGATTTTTATTAACTTGAGCGGCTCGTATTGGGTCGGAAATCTAATCAAATTTGGTAGTTTTCTTTTGCGCGGCTGGGGGGATGAAGCGGTTACGGGCAAGTTTGCGACGAGTTTATTAGTCAGTCTTCCATCAAACAAATCTTCCGGCCCACAGATCCAAAACAGAACATATAAAACTGAGGAATTTGAATTTTCAACAATGAATGATCTGAGTGGCAGGAAAGTCGAAGACGGAAAGATGTACGTACAGACTGAAGGAGATTTTAACAATTTTGATTTGAATAGAAATCTGAAGCCATAACATCTGTTGTTATTGTCATAGCGATTCTCAGACAATTCGAACTTCAATTGTAT